CGGCGGCCTCATCAAGCGAGTTTCATCGACGCGCGTACGTGCATTTGAACTTATTAAATTTGCTCCCTCCGCACGTTCGAAAATATGGAACTTTCGCGGGGAGAAGATGGCGCGCGCGCGCGCACTCGCGCTCGCGCTCGCGAAGACGGCTCCTGCCGAGCGGAAAAACGAGTTTGCCCCGAAGTAAAAGAAAGTCGAGAAATTTCAGATCGTGGGCCACGGCTGGCGTAAGCTCGCCCTCGCTGGATAGTAGAAGACTGCGATTTCCCGGGGAATGCCGGAGGAGGCGGGGGCGCGGAGGACGAAAACTTCCTGGCCCCCGAACTTTATGGAATCTCTTTGAGAGCCGTGGAGCAGCCACTCGGCCCGCGGAACGGCCCCGGTCCGGATTTCGAAATCTCAGCGAAGATAATAATAAGTTAATCCGCCGCTTCCCTCCCCATGGCCCGAGCCCGAACCGAAGTTACTCAGACGTGACGATATGGCGCGAGTCTGCGATCCTCTCCCTCCCTCTCCCTCTCTCTCTCTCTCTCTCTCTCTGCGCTACCGACAAATCGGCCGTCTAATTCTATTATTCGACGCCAATAAACTCGACCTAACGTGAAACGAGTTAACGCGCCATTTGGTGGCCTACGTGGAGTGGATAAGGCTACGGGAGCGTGATCGCATTAGAAGAATCGATGAGAGTTCGAGAGCCCTGGGAGTGTCAAACGTGCCACGAAGCTAACGAGTTAATCCCTGGCCTCATGCGCCACTGTTTCATAGTCGTGAGCGGCGCGGAGCCCGAGAAAAAAATCCAAGGATCAAAGCAGCGCCCTCGCGCTCGCACGCTGCGGAAGGAAAAGGTGTCTTCCACTTGTCGCTGTATAATCGCCCGGTCGGATTGTTGCAGTCGGAAATCTCGTTTCTGCAGCAAGTGCTATTGTTGTCGATAAGATAACGTCATACGCGCAACCTTTTTTCGGGATAAACTTACGAATTTTGGCAAAAATAATTCAAATGGTGTCAAAGGAATGTCCTCAAACGGATTTTCTCGCCGGAAGGCAAGTTTAATGCCAAACAGATTCAAATTATATACATATCGCTGTTAATATTGCGCTACTTTCCCAGATGAAATTAAACGAAGAACTTGTCGAAGATTTTCTTTTCACATAAATAATACATGAATGTCTATTAAATTTCCGCCATGCTAAATTAATGAGTTTATGGTGTACTAAAAATAATGGGTACCTAACCTAGCCAACTACAACACGTAAGCTCATCTGGAGAAAATGATGTAATATCAGAACAGCGATATATATAATGTTATTTAAACATTTTTAGGAATTAAATTTCTTGTCGGATAAAAATCTATTTAAGGACATTCATTTGGGATCATACCGAATGTTTTTACCAAAATTCAGAGCAATAAAGCGTGAGTGGTTTTTAAAAATTTACCCCTTTTTGTTAGACAAAAGCATTACAAACGCGTGTTACGAAAATTTAGCTCTTACTATTTACAAACTAACGTCTCTCTCTCGGAGAAATTGTTGGAAAAAATGTTTCAGAAAAAAGTTTTATAATTTCAACGGGATCATGATGTCAAAATGAGACTTCTTCGAGAAGGTCAATTTTAATTTTTTGAATAAAATCATGATCCTTTTTTTCAATACGAGTCGATTTTCCGCATTTTAAAATTCTTCAACATAAAACGTGAAATTTCTCGTCAAATGTTGCCGACAATCGAATGCTATCGTACGTATGGAATCGATTGATATAAAACGAAAAGCAACACAGACAACTACAGAAAAAATTGCATTTTGCAGATATGCATCAGTATGCGGAGAATAATATCATCAGTCCATTCCTTGAATTATTCTATATATAAATATATTAAATATTAAATATTAGATGTTAAAGTAATCGCCAAAAAGCGAATATGACAATTTTTGTGGTAAATATATTTGCTACTTTTTTCTGTTTTATTTTTATAATGTATCGTTTATAGTTTAATAACAACAAGCATCTTATCTTACATTTTTCTGATATATTAATACTCACTTTAAGTTGAAAAAAGCGATTCAAACAAATTATTTCTAAGGAATTGTTTGAGATTAAAGGAGATTAAAAAATGTTATTGAATATTCTTCACATGTCAAAATGTAAGATATATTTTCTCCAGAATTTTTCGCACACTAGATTTTTTCTTGTGAACAAATTATTTGAATGGGTTTTGCAAATCTGACATGAAATTCGCAATTCATCTGAAAAATTTTTATATCATGTACCTAATTTATTTAATTTATATAAACACCCTAATCTACAACTATATGGCAGCCATACTAGATCTGTCATTTTACATTTTGAAATTTGATTTAAAAATTTGTAATCAGCAACTCAAAAGAATAAAGAAAAGATTTCACAAAAATCCATCAGATGGAAAAAATATACCACACAAAGGTTTAATACATTACAACACTTAAAATCCCTCGTATATCACACGTAATATACAGGGTGTTTCATTTTAAATGAGCCAAGCAGAAATCTCGAAAAATATAAAAGATAGTAAGAAACATTTCAGACGAAAGTTGTATGATTTCAAAGGAGACATAAAACAACTATATCATTTTATTTAATTTGATAATTCTGAAATTTTCAAAGGTCGATAAGTTAACAAAAATTACGGCAAAAATTACTATTGTAATAATATATTCTTGAGACTAAATAGAGTAAAAGAGTCTAGTACTATTTTTTCTTTCGATTAGTTTCGAATAGTTAGCGAGATATCGTAAGTTAAATATTGAAAAAGCCGTCAAGTTTTCCTTAAATATCTCAAAAACTATTAGGCGAATAAAAAAATGTTTCAGACAAAAGTTGTTCAAATTAATCAGTAGAAAAAGATGATGTAAGAAAAAATTGGAATTTCTATTTCAAAAAAGTAATGATCAGTGAATATCTCGAAAGTGGCGTCATCTATGAGCAAAATGATATAGTTGTTTTATGTCCCTTTTGAAACCGTACAACTTTTGTCTGAAACGTTTCTTGGTATCTTTCATATTTTTCGAAATTTTGGTCTGGCTCATTTAAAATGGGACTCCCTGTATATTTTGATTTACAAGCGAATGCGATAAAAGACAAAAATCTCTCTCTCTCTCTCTCTCTCTCTGTTTCAAACAAAAACAAAATCGATACACAGCGGAAATACGACGCGCACGATTGTACAGGTCGAGCAAGTGTCCCGTCCCCGCCTTTGCGCCGATCGGGAATTAATTCCTCTCTAATCTCGCGCACTCTCACATTCGACAAACGTCGCATTGCGTCGCGTCGCGTCACATCGCGATCGACTCCGTTTAATTTCGTTAGCGACTACACGAGAACCCACGGCATTTGCCCACCTACGAACTCCAGCCTGGTTGCGTAATCACGCGAGTTTTCGGCTTGCGCTCGCTAGCAATCAAGCGGTTGATTGAGACGCAGCTTGGATTCCACGGCAGCTTAACGTGACGTAAATCGCTGCGCACGACGCGCCGCAAACCGGGGCCGCGACTTCCCGATAACAAAGCCGCCGGAGACGCGAAAATCGCGAACAGCACACACACATTCTCGAGCGCGATGGCGACGAACGCTGCTCGGGATCGACCGGCGAGACTTTCGCCGCGGCAAATAACGAGCCGAATTTCCGATCCGCAGCTCGCCGACCGAACTTATTGAACCATTACTGCGGCATGCGTTAACAGCTCCGCGGCGTGCCCTTCGTTGGCAAATCGACTATTTAATTTCGTTATCGACGCGTCAATAAATTCGATATAATTCGAGCCGGCCCGCAGTTAATTTCGCGCGGGCTGTGGCGGCGCGGCGGTCCGGCCCGCTCCGCTCCGCGCGCGACGATTGACAGAATGAAAATCGGTCGAGTCAACTGATGGACGTGCCAGCGAGTCGATCGATCTCGCGATGTGATAATTGAAGTCCCGGATTTTGTTCGCCACCGATTCGTCCAATTGAATGCGAATCAACAGCCGCGACGCGCGATGTCGTGATCTTTCCTTCTCTGCCCCCTCCCTCTCTTTCTCTCTCTCTCTCTCTTTAATTTCAATTTACTTAATTCATTGGTTATTTCCTGTAAACTTTCATCACTCGCTTCATGTATCGGAATTTTGTAACTTTTTTCATCGCTCTCACTTATTGTAAACGTCCCTAGAGAGCTGAGCTCTAAAACGATAATCAACGTATCTCTCTCCATTTTTCGATGCTTCGCTGTGTGGATTACGGGAATAAAATCCCTCTTCCGATAATGGAACAGCTATCTATAGATAGATATATATAGATAATGCTATCTATAGATAGCTATGTATAGATAATGGTGCTGTATTGAAATCTTCGAGAAGAAACATTTTACGTATATTTGTTTGGGGGTCAACTTGTGTAACATCCTTCGAGAAAAGAAAGTCAGCTATTTTTACAATGGAATATATTATATTTTCACTAGCACTACCATATTCATTCGTATTAATTGCAGTTGTAAGATTATAAGATTCGAGCAAGGATTCTTAGAAATTATCCTTCTTCTCATGCAAAATTGCATCACTAGTTAACTGCGCGTGTGCGAACTTAACAATAAATTAACTTTTATCACGTGTCATTAACAATCTTCAAGTCTGTTGTTGTCGGGGTCACTTTAAGCCGAGCATATCCTGAATTGTAATCCTTCCCACGTGCCGTGAGATTTCTTTATACTTCTTGCAAGAGACACCTTCTATTATTAAATCTACTCTTATTTTGACTGTTAATGTGAATCGTACTTAAAAATGGGGCAATCTGCGTAAATAAGTAAGTGGGTAAAATAAATAAATAAATATTGCTTTATTTTTTTATTTTTTGTTAATTAACAACAGTCCTCTCTCTCTCTCTCTCTCTCTCTCTCTCTCTCTTATCGCTGACTGACTAATTAACCATCACGCGCGGATTTTTCCTTGCCGTCATCGGAACTCGCACTCAAACAGGACGTTCTTGTTTGTTTACAGGCGGAGATCGAAACTCGTGATATCCTCCGCGAAGCTCGAGGACTCCGGCACATACGAATGCGTGGCTGAGAGCACTTCCGGTCATCGGGCCTCACTCGCGGCCCAACTTCTAGTCACTCCTGATCCCAGAATTGCGGAAACAAGTAAGTAAACCCTCACGTTCGCTTTCACGCTCAACGGGAGATACCCTTATCTCCCAAAGAGATCGATGTATCGTCAAAATTATCGCGGCACGTGCGCGTTAGCGTGCGCTGCGGATGACATTCAAGCCGGGACGAGAACCTCCACGAGATGGAACGCCGCAAGTCCTATCAAGAAATGCCGGACTCCGTCGATCTGAACTAGAGATCTGAACTACAATGAGAGAAAGAGAGAGAGAGAGAGAGAGAGAGAGAGTCTGCTCATGAGATAGCAAGTTTTGATTGGTCCGCCCTGTTGGTCGTCAATTTCTACTTATTAGGAGTGTGATTCAGTTCTGAAGGTTTTTCTGCTCAAACACTGATTTATTTAAACAAGATAATGAAAACGAGTAGCTCAATCAAAATATTTTCCTCCGTTTTCTACAACTCTTCCTGGAAAAAGATGGATTCCGCGGACGATAAAAAGATTCTTCTTCGGAGTTGATCCAATTTTCAACAAATTTTCGTACTTGTTCGAAGTTATGAAAGTGCGTGTCCTCCAGAGCATGTTGCATCGACCGGAGCAAGTGATAATCGGATGGCACAATGTCTGGAGAATACACGGGGTGCGGTAAGACTTCCCATTCCAGCTCTGATAGCGTTTGCTTCACTGATAATGCGACATGAAGTCGAGCATTGTTGTGAAGAAGGATCACTATGCGTCGTTTTTCTCGCAATTGATGATCGTTTTTGGTCCAATATGCTCGCTTCAATGTGTATAATTGTTGCCGATAACAATCAGCGGCGACAATTTGATTCGGATTTAACAGTTCATAGTACACAACACCTTTTTGATCCCACTAAATACACGGCAATACCTTTAGACCATGAATATTACGCCTCGAAGTGGATGTTGCTGGTTAGCCTGGATCAATCCATGATTTTTTTCATTTGGGATTATCGAAATAGATCCATTTTCCACTCCCAGTAACAATTCGATACAGAAAACTCTTCATTTCTTGTCTGACAATCAACCAAATGCAAATGTTCAACTGGTAACGCAATGGTATTTTCCGATAATTGATATGGAACTCATTTTCCTTCCTTGTAAATCTTCCCCATATCATGTAAGCGTTTAGTAACTGTTGTACAATCAACATTTAACGCTCTGGCAAATTATGAAGTGGATTGTGCTGGATTTTCGCCCAATCGTGCTTGTAAATCTGCATTTCCAAGCTTTTTGGGTTGTTCCAAAATGAATTTTGTCGTTAATATTGAAATCACCACTTTTGTTGAATCGTCTAAACCAATATTCATCAATATGTCTTAATTAATAGAGCAACATCACCATAAGTTTCTATCAAAATTCTATGACCTTCAACCGCGGTTTGCTTCTGATTAAAAAACAAAAGCAACGCATGTCGAAAATATTCTTTAGGAAACTCCATTTTTAACACTTGCTGTTAACACGATTTTTACAGCGTCTGTTATTAGTAAATGACTAAATATCATCGATTCATATCGAAGCATCAAGAAACAATAGCTGTGATTGGAATGTCTTCGACAAAACTGGCATTAGTGCTATCTCTTGCAAAACCCTCACAACTGAATCATACTCCTAATATTTTCGGCTTAAAATTACTTCAATAACTGCAATTTCAACAACATCACTAAAAGATAAACGTTTCAAACATGCTGAACATATCTTTTTGTATTACTATATTTATCATTAATGTCTATTTTTATATTAGACATATGAATGATATATATTAAAAAATTCCTTTTTAAAAATATTAATTAAAAATATAAAGAAAACTTTTGGTATACGTAAGAGTGAGACAGGTCTTAGGATTTGGAGCTCGTTTGATTGAATCTATCATTAATAAGGATCTATCGTTAATAAGGATCTATCATTTCGCAAACTACTACGGTAATTATTGAAATATCAATGAAAAGAAATCTGTACACGAATCTGTGCGCTGTGCGATGGGACGAGCTCTTTAAGCGAAGTCCCATCCGAGATGTCTGAATATCTCTTAACAATCTTTTCTCGCCAAAAGATTGCCGATAGAGATTCAGACATTTTGAGTAAAATTTCACCCAGAAGCCTTGTCCCACCGTAATCGTGCGCATTGATTGACCAAAGTCTTTTCATCGACATCTCAGCAATCACCATGGTAGTTTCTACAGAAAATGAAACCGGATTTTCTACTCAGCTTAACGAGTCCCACCTGCTGGGATATTTTTTCAAAAAAAAGTTGTTACAAAATGGGGCTGCGCATTCGCCCAATTTTCAGCAACATTGTTATTTCCTGACATCTTCGGTAGCACGCTTTACTGTGCGGTAAAACTTTATGCATTTTTGTGAGCTCGTCAGAGCATGTTAGATCAAAAAGAGAGAGAAAGAGAGAGAGAGAGAGAGAGACATTGTCAATATTACCTCTGTTCCTCTCTCTTTTTTCTGAGAGATTTTGACAAAACCACTGTTGCGGCCGGGTTCTCTTATTTTGGAGTATCTAATCTAAACTATCGATCAAAACGAGACACGTTCGACGAGCTATGATAAAACCAGTTGTCGGATCGTATCAACCGTCGAACGAAGTTTCGCGAGGCAGTCGGGGGCCGCGTACACCTGTCGATACCTTACGCGGGGCTTTCGGACATGGAGCAATTTCGGACTTCGGTCCGACGTTATGATACTCCTGCTTGTTGCAGTCAGCGAGACTGATCTCTCGTTACACCTCGAATGCGGATTAGCCGCGGAAAAGACTCGGAAAAGACTCAGTGACTTTTTCCATCGGCCGTGCCACCGAGCGTCGAAACAAGAATTTCCGGGCAGAATGTTCCGCGAAGGAGAGATCTAGCGCTAGTACTTAGCGCTTTAACTAAGAGAAAATTACTTCGGAGGTATTTCTGCCGCGACTTCTTCGGATCTATTGGGTTGGCAACTAAGTGATTGCGGACTTTAAATAAGAATGAAAATTCAAAATTTGAAATTTGCTGTTTTAAATTTTTTTCAATGCATGTATGCGATACATTGAGCTTCTCTGCAATATCACGTGTTGTGCTATGACGATCTGAATCGATAATGGCCTTGATATGGGTCTCATCGACTTCAATTGGACGACCAGATCGTTGAGCATTTTTCAATGAAAAATCACCAGAACGAAATCTGGCAAACCAATTTTGACACTGCCTTTCTTTCAAGGCTTCATTCCCATATACGGCACATAACTTCTTGTGTGCTTGCGATGCGTTCTTGCCTTTTCGGAAATAATACAATAAAATATGTCTGAAGTGCACGTCTTGCTCTTCCATTTTTAAATTGGGATAAAAACAAAACTAAAGAACTAATCGATATAATTTTTGTACTAAATGAAAGGTAGAAGTCCAAACAATAAGAAAAAAATATAGGTTAGGTACTTTGAACACGTTAACGAAACAAAAGAAAGTGTAAAATCCACCTGTCGACAAAATCCGCAATCACTTAGTTGCCAACCCAATACATTCGGATTTACAATATGGTTCGCGCTGGAGCCGCGACTAACCGAAATGTTACGTCTTCTTACGTTTGCTCTACGTCCGTTTATTGCAAGTCGCCGACGTTTTGTGAGGTGTTATACGGTGGGAAAATATTGTGGTAAAAATTTTTGACGATAAAATTTTTGCAATCTTGGATTATCCGGAAATACGATCGAAATTATTACTGCATATTTGTTTGACATATATCTGTGATACTTTTACTGCACGGCATTGCAATTTCTTGAATATTTTATCGTCTTGTGTTTCATGTTATTTATTATTTTTATATTAATTTATACTGCAATATCGGAATAGTCCAGTTTTACAAGAGATACACAAGAGATAGGAAGGAATATAATTTTATAATGTAATTTTTTTAATTTTTATTACAATATTTTCTCCGTGTACAGTCGTCTGATTAAAAGTTGCAACTTTTTCCCGCGAGAAGTTTCGCGACGCATCTCGCATCCAGTAAGAAGATTTGTTACACGATAATTTTCCAGAGGTACACATCTTTTTATAAGATACGGAATGTGTTGCGAAACTCATCAAGAAAAAGTGTTGCAACTTTTAATCAGCCAGTTATATACAAACGAAGTACGTGTCAGTCGAACGGTGGCGAGTCAAACCGAAACACCGTAACTTTCCCCTCTTTATCCTAATTTCCTAAAGAATATTCATTTTTCTAAATTAATCCTCTCCGCAGCGACAACAAAGTAGCTAAAATTTAGACGAATAATAATTGTACTATTTGTGAATTGTCCAATTTTCACGATTTCGATTCGCCATATTGTGTCGGCCATCTTGAATTTTGGAAAACTTACAATTCTAACCTCATATTCGTAATCAGCAACCTCGAAAACTCTCGGGAAACAAATTTGAAGACATATTATCAGGGCGAAATCCTGATAGTTAGATAGATTTTATGCAATCTATGTTTTCTTCAAAATTGGAACCGCCATATTAGTACAAGTTTTGAGAATCTTGAAATTTCGACTGCATTTTCGGAATCAGCGATGTCCAAGACCTTAGCTAGCGTACATCTCAGAACTCTCAGTACTCTCAGTACTCTCAGAAAAATAAAAAGTGAAGTAATATTTTTTTATTCAGGTTCGACGAGGTGTGACTTATGTGCCACACCATGCTTCAACCTAGGTTAAGCACGAGTTTTTTGCGCAGAATGTCTTTCTTCCTTCGAGAGAGAGAGAGAGAGAGAGAGAGAGAGAGAGAGGAAAACAAAAGATCGCGCCGAAAAATTCGCGCACGGCTTCGAGACGCCCGCGAACGCGACAACGCGCGAGGATTCGCGGGACGGTCTCTTCCTCCAGACGAGAAAAATTACGGGTCGTCACTGGAAAATGGAGTCTCACGGGGCGATTCGTCCCGGAAAGGGGCAACGCGACGCACGGTTGGCCATTTCGGAAATAACACGCGCGCGCGCGATGCGTCGAATCCGTTGAATCGGCCGCGGGAAATATCGATGGTGATTTCACATTCGACGG